TGTGTTGTTCGCAGCCATGACTTAATCTGCTTTGTCAAAGGAGAGGAAGAGAGACTGAAGCTCAGTTCAGTCTGTCTGTTCCTCGTCTTCTCCCTTCTCTCCTGTCAATTCTTTCCTGTCCTTTTTTATGATGGGTTTTCCTGTCTTTCTGTCCCGTCTCTTTTCCTGTTCCCCCTACTTTCTCCCTCTTCTCCTTTGCTCACTTTCCCTGTCAGTAACGTCCGACTTCCTCAAAAGGAGACTCAGCCCAGACGCTCGCAGGGCTGGCAGCTAACTCTGACAGTCAGCTTGTTTATGGAAGCGGAAAACTACACTGTCACATTTCCTGCTTTTCTGCTGGAAATTAGCAACAGGAGGGGCTTATCTACTCAGGACAGAGATCCTGGAGGTATAGAGACGGGGTGTTTCTGTAATCACTTCCTCTCTCATCATTTCCTTCAGGTTGATTAAAGTAGAAGAAGGATCACCACCGCAGGAGTTAGTCCTTCAGCTGTTACCATATGAGAGTCTATTACAATCACAAATATTTTTCTTCCTTTCAGAAATGATAAATATTTCAATCTCTTCTTTTTTTTCTTCCGTCACAGAGACCCCAGGCGACAAGCCACCACCTTGCACCAGAAGTTACATTTCTGGGGCTGTAAGGGGCATTGAAAGGCAAATCTCCAACTGAAAATGGTGATAGTAATTTTGCACGTGTCTTTAACTGCAGCATTTGTATTGGTAAACTCAGTGTTTCTTCGGTGCCTCTCTCTCTATCAAAACCAAAGTTGCCTGAATTTGAGAGATTCATTAAAAAAATGTAATTTGATAAGAAAGAAGAGCTGCTCAGCTGCTCTTTTGATACACCAACATTTTTATTTCAAGTTCTTTTTTACCGCCTTCTCTCAACAAATCAGGATATAATGCACTGAAATGAATCTCTGTGTTTTTGATCCCACGCTAAACTAAGGAAAAAGAATAGCAGTCAAATCTGCTGCAAATTCATCAATTCAGTCAGGAAGAACGATGCCAGTAGTCACATTGGTATGCCTCTGAGGTAGACCGGCCCCTTTGCTCCAACAGCAGCTTTTTATTTTACTTCTCCGAGTTGACCCCTGATCTCAGCTTTCTCTAAACATTCACTGAGTCAATGGTTTTTTGTTTTTGTTTTTAAAATACACAATTATGAGCATTTTACTCAAAAATCTCTGAGAGTTTATTGTGTTAAGAGAGCTTTAACCTTCTTACTGGCAAAGAGAGAGTAAGGGAGAGAGACTATCCCAACCAAAGCTTGAACTTCCTTTAATTGTTGGCTCGGCTGTATGACCTGTTGAAAATAGTATGTCAGGCCATTGTTTTCTGATATAGAGAAGCTGAAGGGCAATAAACCAACATGTTGATATGTGGCGGAGACATTCTTTAAGCTTTTATAGCTTTTGTTCATGGCATTTATCAAGTGTAGCAGGGCGGAGTGGTGGGAAATAACTGTGCAGTCCTTAATGTCTTAATGTCTAAAGTAAAGAAATACACATCCAGAAGTACTTCAAAGATTTAGGTAGCAAGGAAAAATGCAGATTTTACAGATTTTTAAAAATTAATATTTTATAAACCTTCAAAGCTGTGGCTTGTATCAATGTGCTTTTCTGGAGCATGTATAAAATTAGTAAAATAAAAATAAACAGGTGATACTGTTTTGTTTTAAAGACATTGCATTGGTTAGAAATTAATGCACCAGGGAGCTACTCTCTGTGTTTCTTCTGTCCCCGCTTTGATCAGTAGATGGAGCAATACTCCAGGGTAACTTCATATCTCTTTATGTGATCTGAAAGTCAGAGAGCATGTCTGCTGCCACCCTGTAAACATTAAACATCTGTAAACATTAAACATCAGTCAAAATGGGGGGAAAGAGTTAGAAAAACATCTCTGTTAGCTAATTAGCAGACACAAATGATAAAAGGGCTGAGGTTATTTATCTTTAATATTTGCACTGTACTTTTGAATGTGTGATGCAGTCTGTTTGCAGACCTCCACATAATGATTATTCAACAGTATTGCACTCAAAAAAAGCCATGCTTTCTGCATCTTAATTAATAATGGGTGGCAGCCCTTTAAGGCAAGTACATTTTTACACAATTTTCATGAATTAATTACATAAATAATTGTGTCCTTTTTGCTACAGAAAAACATGTAAAAGGCTTCTGAGTTGAATACATAACATACATCAGTATAACTGGAAAGATTCACTCATGTTTCAAACATGTTTCGTGGTAAACAACTTTTCAGATACAATAATTCAGGACCCATAATAGATTTGCAGAACAGCGTTTCTCTCTTAGCATGTTGATTTTTGCCATGCATACAGCAAACTTTCTAATGAGATTTCAGAAAACTGCTGACTATGCATGAAAGAGATTACCATGCTAGCAGTCTTGCTCCCAGCTCTCTGGCTGTGCAATGATTAGATAAGAAAACGGATCTTAAAAGGGTTACTCTTGGATGGTTTCCTATTGACCTGAGTGTTTTGTCTCTGCTCTCCTCTGCTGCAGCATTGTCGACTTTCTCTTTCGCTGAATCTGTTTTGGTCCACAGGGGCGCTGAACGGTAGAGGTCACCTCGAGCTGAGCTGTGTAAAAATGTAGGAATCAGCAGTCCATTCCTGCTGCAGAGCAGCCGGCCAATCCAGCGAAATCCCACAACATTTCAGTGCACTGACGAGTCAAACGGCTGATTCTGACACATGTACATTTATTGGGAAGGAGTTCCTGTATAGCTGATACTGAATTCACCAAGGTAAATCTTTTGCCCCATATTTTCTATGGCAGTAGCAATGGCAGGCCTGTAATTTGAATGGATTATTGTTTTGTTTTGTTTTTGCCTTGTCTTACACTGTGGTTTAGAACATTTTTTAGTAGGTTTACCAGTAAAACACCAATTCATCTTGTTTGGGGGAGTTATTTTGAGGATTTCATGTTCTTCCACATCTTCTCTCCACAGCTTTTTGGCTGAAAGACAAATATTTCCCCCCAGTAAATATTATTTTTACACAGTCACTGCAGAAAACAAACAAAACAACAGCACGCAACAAAAGCTTCAAAAAGGCTGCCGAGATGTTGCAGAAATCTAGACATCCAGACCTGCAGATATACTGTGGAAGGCAAATCCTCATCCTTAAAATCAGCCCTTTTCACCTGCTGCCAATCATTTAGTGAAATCAAAGAAGCTTCAGTCGATCATTTATTAGTTTTTCTGTTTTCAAGGCGTCCTCATCTGTGTCTGCCTTTGTGGAATGACGCTCTGGACGGAGCTCTGTAGCTCCCTCTTTTAGTTTTCTAAGAGCTCTCCTGAGATGATGATGAAAGGACTTGTCTAATGGGATTACACATCGCAATAAGTGCTCAGAGCCCAGTGGTTCATCGCACCTCCCTCTTGCATTTCAAAGAGTGGCATTGATCTGTTGTTGGGTAGTATATCTTGGACATTGTGTTTTAAGGGAGATGCTTTATTGCTTGATTCACAGAGGTTTGTTCTTAATGTTCTTTGTCATTCCAGCCCCAAAATATATGTGTGATTCCTTTAAAACTACACTTAAAATGAAATGTCCTTTGGTTAGGATACAGCTCGCTTATTTTCAAGGATTTGATCTGCAAAAGACACCAATCCCCCCCACCGCCACCCGCACCCCATCCAACCTTTAACCTGAGCACACTGTAAAGGTGATGTCATGGGATAATTCACAAAGCAATGAATTAAGTAGCAACTGAAACTTCTAGTTTATATTGAAATCAAGCAGCATTATGTCATACTTTTGCACACGTGTGCACATGTTCTCTGTATGCTTATGTATATTTAGATTTTATCATGCTAGAGATGGTCTACCTCTATTAATACCAGTGAAATAACAATTTTTCTGTTAGGAAAAATGATTAATAACAGGGTTCCAGTGTATTCCTTTAAGTAAGGAGAAAAATATAGACAATATATGATCATCTAGTCATTGTATTATTTTATTTATTACAATGACTTCATATTAAAAAACTGTATTTTTAAGGTGCAACCCAACCCAAATGTGATTTATACAACAGGTTGGAGCTTGAAATTCTTTCCTTAACCATCAAACAAAGCCAACAAATTATTATACTTTCTGGATTTTTAAGTGGTAGAGCCATTTAGCTCATTTTCAAAACAACATGCTTTCAAATATGTAAGTGATTTTGTTTTCTATGCATCATTAACGCTAATTGTTTTAATCCATTTTGCCTCCATTTTATCTTCAGTAATTTAAGAGCAGTTAATCTTGGTAAATAGCATCCATTTTCCACCACTAATAAAGCAAATACATCAGTCCTTCTGTCTGGCTGAAGGCGTAGTTATCACTCTGGAGTGAGTGCACAAGTTTGGCTTTAACCATTTCAACAAATTAATGCTCAAACCAATATTACCCTCAAATTGAGTCTGATAAATTTTCAGTATCCTTAACATGTATTGGTGCTGACAGGTTTGATTCTTTAATGTCAGCCCTTTTTAAAGTGGGATTTATCTTCCATCGCACATTTTCTGTGACTCATTCTGTTTTTTCTTGTTTCTTTCTTTTGCCACTCTGCAGACACGCACATTTGCCCAGCTGAAGCCAACTTCCCATGTGGAAGAACCAGAAGGCAGGAGAAGAAGCCCTATCCTGAGGTCTGAGATGGAAGCGTATTCCTTTTGGTTGGACAGCAGGTGGCAGTACATGCAGACCACAAAGCTATACAGTCTGCAGGAGTAAAAGGCTCAGGGAAGGGAGGGGGGCCTCTAAGATGTTCAGTGCACAGACACACATGCATGCATGCTCGCATACACATCCAGTTTGCACTTACATCATCATTACCAGGGGAGGAGCTCTGCAGAATGTGAGGATTGCAGACAGCTACTGTAACAGGGATGACTTCAAAAGAAACAGCAACATTGGCATGATTCAGTCTTGACACACTGCGGTCAGTGTGAAGACTCTAAACTGCTGCAGTCCTGGTCAGAGCATGAGGATCTTGCCAGGGTGATTCACAGGAGCTGGGACGTGACTTTAGTGACCTCAGCACAGCAGCATGGCATCACCCAGGCACTACGGACACTCTGCTCGGGATATTACCAACGTGATGCAGAAGCTGCAAGGTAGGAGCCAAATGCTTACTCACAATGCTCTAACTTGGTTTTGCAGAGTGTTTAGAGGTGACCTAGAGCTTGGTATGACACAGCAGAGCAGAATGAGGTAGAGACAGCGTGGAAAAATCTGTCTTCCATCTCATCCTCATGACATGAATGTCCTGATGTGTAATGCTGGAATTCAAGTTCATATGGCTGATAAATGTTTGGTATGAGAAGGGCATAAATCAGTGGAATGTGCAATGTCACTGCATGCAGTGTAAGAAGTACAGTAGAAATTTGGGGTTATAATCAGTTCTGTTTTATCTCACCTTCAGGCCCTATCAGTGCTTTGGTTTATTTTAAATGCTCTGAATCTTTTTTTTAAATCAAGATGGAGAAACCTGCAGCAGTTAGAGCTTATTATTTGACATATAATTTTTCTTTTTCATTGGGAAAAAAACTTGATCAAATGGTAATGAGTAAATGTGTGAGAGACAGCATTATTGCCCCATTCTTGTTTGTGTTTTGTGTTTGTTTTAATTGCCTGCTTGCTCGCTGTGTGTTTGGTCTATCTGTGTTAGTAATTGCACACATGGAGTGCAGTGTGTGTGTGTGTGTGTTTGTGTGTATATATATGTTTCTGTATGTTGATTGACAGGGAAGCAGACAATAGCAAAGCTAATCCTCAGAGAAGCTGACAGGATGAAGTCTATTCCTCAGCCTAACTCGGCTGTAGTAGCAGGACTCCTCATAATGGACAGTTATATCCTCAGCTTGCTGGCACAGTTACATCCAACCTGGCTAATTTAAAATAATCAGCTTAAAGTATTTTTTTTAAATCTTCTCTAACCTCTAACTTTTATTTCTTCTTTAAAATTTTATTCTCTATTCTTTAAAATTTTATTTTATTGTATTTTTTGGAGCAGATAACTAGCATTTATTCCCATTTGCTAATAATGAAACAGCATGGCTTTAACAGTTTCACAAGCTTCCAGTGGGAAACGGTGTATCTCAGTGTGCCGGGATCATGTATCCTTTGCTGACAGGATCAGATTGATGACGCTTGCAAAGTAGCAGGAAAGTCAGGTGACACTAGAGCTGAGATCCAATATGGCTGCTCACTGTAAGGCTTCTGAGGTGGCAGTTTCTGTGAAAGCCGAGAACAGCATCAGCAGCCACGTGGTTCCCCTGCATCACTGTGTGCAGGTGTGGATGCACACTTTGAATCTCAATTGTACGCTGATGGATCTAATTTTAGAAGCCTCCCCTCGAGCCGTCTCTCCAGTGCAAAGACGGATTGATGCAGACACGCATTGAGTGCGCATTTAACCATTTGCAACAATGAAAGGGTGTCATATGATCCCATTATTTATTCATACTTCTTAGAATTAAAACAAATTAATCCGCAGGGAGACACCCCGATTTCAAAGAGGTGGATAATGTTTCATCGGCATCTAAATGGTGGTGTTTCTAGATATCTGGCAAGCTTCTACTACTTATAGGTATAGGATTCTTATTGAATGCTGTAAGGATGTAAATAACATGACAGTGGTTTGTTCCAGCCACAGACTTCTGACTGGATCCTACTTTTTTTGGCAGTGTGTCAGCTCCAGTTAGTGAAACTTTTATCTCATTTTAGCAAACGGCCCTTTTACCAACTGTTGCTTTAATGGTTTTACAAATTGTAAGCATTTCAGATAAAATTGTTTCTGTTGCTGTGGGTGTCTTTACAAATGGAAAGACTGAGGGTTTGTGGGAACAATGCTGCTCTAATGTAGCCGCAGTAGCCGTTACCACAAAAATACAACGCGTAGATCATCTTTGATTCTGCTGAATTTAGTATGTGCCTATTATATTCGAGTCTGATATATTGCCTGTGGTTGGAATATGCATCGTTCTTACTAAATGTGTTGAAAAAGCAAAATCTGTACTTGATCTACATTCACCGGCCACTTTATTAGCTACACCTGTTCAGCTGCTTAACATAAATGTCTAATTTATCAAACATGGCGGCAACTAAAAGGATTTAGGCATGCAGACATGATCAGAACGACTTGCTAATGTTTAAACTGAGGATCAGAATGGGAAAGAACGGTGATTTGAGTATCTTTGAACGCAGCATGGTTGTTGGTGTTAAAAAATGGCTGATCTGAGTTCTTCAGAAAATGCTGACCTACTGAGAATTTCCCCACAAAACCATCTCAAGGGCTTACAGAGACTGGTCCAAAAAAATAGAAACTATCCAATGACTAGCAGGAGAAAATATCTTGCTGATGGCAGAGGTCAGAGGAGAAGACAGTAACTGAATACAAACAAGATATGCAGAAGAGGATTTCTGAACACCACGTTGAAGCACATGGGCTACAGCCACAGAAGAACCCAAGAGGAGCTGCTCCTATCAGCTAAGAACAGGAAGTTAAGGCAACAATTCAAACAGGCTCACTAGAATTAGACAACATATGATTGGAAAACATTACCTAGTGTGATGAACTCTGATTTCTGCTGTGATATTCAGAGGGTAGGGTCAGAATTTGGAGAAACAACACGATAGCATGGCTCCATCCTGCCTTTTACCACTGATTCAAAGTACTCTTAATATTATAATAGTGTTGGGGGATATTTTCTTGGCACTCTTTGGGGTCCTTAGTACCAACACAGAATTGTTTGAATGCTACAGCCTACCTGAGTATTGATCCGGATCATGTCTATGCCTTTATGTGTACACATCTTCTCATGCACCGTGTCACACTGCTCGATCACATCAAGTTAGTTTCTTGAATATAACAATGAGTACAATGTACTCAAATGGCCTCCACGGTCACATTTTCTCTATCAAGATGAGGGCCTTTACTGTGTGGTGGAACATACACATGCACATGCTTGCATGTGCAGCACACATATCTGCAGCAACTGTGTGATAATCAATTCAATATGGACCAAAATCTCTCAATACTAGCAAGGTATACCTAATGAAGTGGCCGGTCCCCTTTACAGTTGCCTCTGTACATGTACTTTCTCCAGATATTTAGGTTTAGTCCAAATTTAAATCAGGAGTATTGTCTTTCCTTTATAATGGGTTGAGTCATGGAACTTTTTGATTGTACTCTGTAGTTTTTTTTATTCTTTCTTTTTTCATAACATGTAGCTCTCATGTATCTCATATGTTCTCGCCTCTGAGTACAGCATCAAATTAGCTTGTTGACAGCGGGCAAGCAGAATCTAATTTCATTTGTTTGATGTGTTCTGGTTGCCGTTCATCTCCTGGGAGGCGAGAGCTAAACCTGTGATAATATAATCAAGATGTTTTGTAGGAATCAAAGAGGAGCACTTTTCTTTTTTTTTCATTAATCTGCAGATGAAAGTGAAACACAACATAAAAACGTGTTCTTTCCAGTATTATATAGTTCTGAGCTTGTACCCTAAGACAGCTGTAGATGAAATGTATGGAGCCTTTGTTCATGACAATGTGACTCTACTGGGATAATTGTTATGTTCACATGTGTTTGAGGGAAGAAAACTCGGTTAGTTGTATAAATATATCTAATCTAATGTCACTTGCATATCTTGTAAACCGCGATTAGTTTAACATATTTCCTCATCATCTCGAGGGAATATAACAATCTCAAATCGCCATGTTTTAAACCGTTCTCCCTCAAGGCTCAATTTGGCGACCGCTTGAGAAGAAAGAAACGGCTCAATGCAACATCAAAACAATCAAAACTTTTGCCCCAGTTTTGGGCTTGTGTTTTTCTCCCTTTAACCAGCTCTTTTGGTGCACCTCTCTGTCGCACACAAAAGGGAAAAAACCCCAAAAACATCGCAATTAGTGACACCATATGGCAGAGAACGGCAAGGCCGCTTTGAACACCTCCCAGCCTGAACTCATCCATATGCTGTGGAATTTGCCTGTTTGTTGTCTCTCATTAACGAGAAAAGCGATGCGCTGTTTTTGCTATTACAATTTCTCACCTGTTTTCTGTGTCGTGGGCGGAAGAGGGGTACGTCCACGCTGCCGTCTGCCGGCCCATCAAGTGGACAAGTTTGCTAAATCTCATTGAGGTGGGTGTGCACACCTGCATGAGTTTTCTCTGCATTGTGTAATTTTGGTAAAGGAAGATGCTTAGCAGGGGGAAAAAAGGCTGAGAGGGTAAAGTGCATAGGCAACAGAGAGGCAGCACATCTGGAAGATATGAGCCCCATACTGAGAGTTTCAGATGGATGAAATGGGAATGAGAGCGACAGCGGGAAAAGCAGGAAAATGAGGACTGGACCAGCAGAGTTGTTGGGGGGGGGGTGGAGAGAGAGAGCGAGCCCACACACCAGCTTTTAAGCTCCTAGTTGCTAGTGGGCCTGGCACAGATCCTTGGGTTGGCCCAGGGCCAGCTTGACATCCTGTTGCCAGGGGCGACATTATGATGTGGCCGCAGCCAAGGAAGGCCCGAGCAGACGGTCACCTTGAGCCATGCCAGCCTCCTGTTTAGCTGTGACACCACTATTTATCGTCTGTGGCTCTGCACACCGTGGCTTCACACACACACACACGTGTCCACATTTACATAGACACCGAAATAATCGCTGTGTTAAAAATAGCTCTAGTGCAACGTTTTATTTTTGTAATTTTTTAATAAGACTGGGTGTCAGCAGTTTAACTGAGCAGTTAAACAGACCCAGAGGAAGTCTTCAAGGCCACCAGAGCAGAACTGTGGCAGAGCGTCTGCTCGGGAACAACGCTGTAGCGTGAGTTGTTGTTTGTTCTGCTGCTTCTTCTTCTCCTTGTACTTCCAGATTGTGTTTGTGACTCGTTGCCATAAACGGCAGTCGCATGACAGCCAGCACAGGGCTTTTTTTTCTCTTTTTCACCCTGTGGGCTTATGGGGCATGTCTGGTTCAGGCTCTGCTTCTGTAACAGCACGTTATGCTTGATAAAAAGGTGTGTGTGTATGTTTGTCCCTGCACTAATGGGTATCTGTGTTCAGACCATGCAAGCTTCCCAGTGGCAGCTTCTATTGCAGATCAGATCATAATCT